CGGCCCCCCCCGCCCTCTCCCACTTTGAATGTGGCTGTCTGTGTGTGCTCATCAACGCTCTGAACCACCAAGCGCAGCCATCAGCAGCGTGGGATCTGTTTGCTCAGGCCCTATCTGCACATCTTGCATTCCAGGGGCGTCTGCAGCCTGGGCGCAGCCCTGCCCACGCCTTATGTTGCAAGGTGGTGTGGTGCTCGCGCGGGGCAGGCGGGGCAGGCGAGGCCGGCGGGGCGGGGTGGCAGCATGACGTGCCGTGTGGCCCAGCAGCGTGGCGCACCTCACTTCGCAGATCGCAATTCCGACACAGGGATGGGGCTTTTGTGAAGAGTTTGCTCAAAGCGGGCGCTCGCGCGTGCACCCCCGCCCTTCCCCCGTTGAGCACCGCGAGGGTCAGCAGCCCAGCCGCAACCTCCCAGAAAGGAATAGTTTTCTATTTCTTCCGTTTACCACTGTTAAAAATGACAACGTAACTTTCAACGGGATGGACCGGCACTGTTTTAGCCGGAGAGTAGCCGTGTCAACCGCGTACTGGACCCTAGAACAACGGGTGTGCGATATGTATGTAGTGTAACCAACGAGTTAAGCAAGGCAGATATATTAATTGCTTACACGCTCAGACACAAGTTACAGAAACAGCTGACCGCCTGCCTATAGCCTCACTACCGCGCCCTAGCGGCGAAGTTTATAGAACTCTGTAGGATGTAGGAAGCCAGCGGATAATATCCGGGGACCAGTACTATTGTTTCCCCCCATCTGTTACGATAGCTGGCGTGGAGTATGCTACACCCCAAAACGAAGGCTAGGTCAGCTAAGGGAAATAGGATTAATTCATTTGTTTTGTTATGTTAACATGTCATCTAAATGCTATAGATACATTTAATATATAACATACCTAAGTATTTCGACGCATCTAAATACTTTATATGGTTTGTAGTTTTTAGTAATAAAATATTTATCGAAAACACGCTTCTTATGAAGCTTGTAGATTATTTCCAATTAAGCATACCTTTATCTCAATTTCTCCTGGGAGCCCAAACCCTATCTGTGTCAAAGTTCAAAACTGTGGTGGCAAATGGGGGATTTTGAAATGTCAATAACTCATTTCTCCGGGTGTAATTCAACGAAAAGTGATGACCACCATAAATGTGCCATGTCCGCCGTGCCTTCCAAAGTAATTGCCACTCGAAATTCATTCTCTTTATATTGTTTCTGATTGGGTTCACTTTGGACTTAGAATAGTTTTGGCGCTGGTGAGGGCGTTGTGCGCATGCGCGAACTTGTAATGCACGTAAATACAAGAAATTGGATTTATTCAGTGTGTTTGTACGACGTCAACACTTTTAATTATCATTAGCAATCATTTTCAGTTTGTTTGGAACGTGGGGGAGTCGCTGTTTTCCGTAAAATGACAAATGAAATTTGAGGTTATGTTGGCCTTTCACCAACTTTGTCAAATAAATCAACTCAAGGGGGTCTTCCCCGATAGGAAGCCTTTAAAAGTTCTTTAATCTATCCGGGAAGGTAGTCTGGCCGTGACTATTTTTACATAGGAGTGTGATTCGAAAAATCCAGTAGTTTTGACGTACGGGCATTGGTTTAAGAGAAAAAAATACTTTATTGAAATATCTTATACTCACCATAAATAGGATTAGGAAGTGAGATGGATAACATGGCATGAGTTCAGAAAAAGGTCATTGAAGACATCTTTCAACAATTAGTATTTTTAAATTTACAAAAAAATTTAGATTTTATATATGAATTTTTGAAATCTTTTATTAGAAATTGCTGAAATGATGTCTCCATCGATTTCGATAAGAAATATTCTGGAAGTAGCTCATACCAACTCTGATTTATTCTGAAAGTGTTGTGACACGTGGACTTTTACTTTTTAAGCTATTGGGATTGCGCATTCTCTGACCAACCAACTTCTGACAACAGAACCTCTTCGACTTAGCTGGAATGGATGGAAATGAACTACCCATGCTTAAATTGACATTCTTTTATAGAACATAAGTATTCTCTGTCATCATATATGTGTATTTAAAAGATCTAATTGTTCCGCTAACTTTCGGTTGTTTTGCTTATCCAAAACCACTCCAATATGCTGATCATAAAAAAAACTTTACACAGTTACTTTATTGGCTGAGCTTGCGAAGCCTTTGCTGTGATGTGGGGTGCAGAGAACTCTTTGGTCGTGTGTCTTTCTGTCTGTCTGTCTGTCTATCTGTCTGTCTCTGTCTGTCTGTCTGTCTGTACTGGCCCACGTTTCTCTCAGACGGTAACTTCAATTGACTTCAAACTGCGCACGAAGCTTCAGTATAAGTCGAGACGTAACGAGTTTAGTTTAGAAGTTAGATATTAGAGGTTTGAAATAAACGATCGTTTAATTTGAATTCGTAGTTTGGTGGCGGTAGGTTGGTAGCACGGCACTCTCACCTGAAGACTTTAATACCTTCTCAGCAGTGATTAAAATGTCAGATAGTCAAACCGAGTGTTTTCGTTTTAGTTTTAGAGTTGCGGAACTCAGCCTGCGAAGTTTCACGAGTGTCCGATGAGAAGGAACGAAAGTGATATTTGGAATGGTTTACGTGTTTACTTACGTAAGTTGGAGGGGGGGGGGTAATGGTTTGGGAGAAATGTGAAAAGGTAACTATTGTTTCGGGTACATCTTGACAAAAGAAAACGAAAATGTTTTATGCCCGAAGATGATCGGAATCGAAATGGCAGAGTTATTCCCCTCCAAATTGAGAATTTGGTCGTTTTGGCACACTTTTTGCCCTTTGGGTTCTATTAACTTTGCCATTTCGACTCTGATCGGCTCTGAGCATAAGACATTTCCTTTTTAATTTTGCAAGTGGAATCCAAATCTGGGATTGCACTTTAAATTCGATAACTTTTAGCAAATTGCAATTTTACAAATTTTTCATTGGAAAACAAAATAATGGTGTTCAGTCGTAAAACGACTAGAACTCATTTTATCTTACAAAAAGGCATCTTAAAA